ATCGGTCGACGTATCGACATAAGGCTTCGGGTCGTAGATTTGGGCACCGGCCAAGAAGAGCGAAGATTATGCTAAGGATATCAGAGTTGCGAAGTCAATTGATCGATTAGGCAATAAGCCGCAAGAGAGAACAATGTGCCGAAGAATCGGACGAAGCGTCGAGGGACCAATGACATATCGGAAAACTTGATTAATTGCTTATGATTAATTGTCTCGATCGAAGTTTTGTTTTAAGTGTGCAAGATTAACTACGATAGCTTGAAGATATAAAGCAAGTCTACCGGAGTCAAGTTTGATGGGTGTTCGAGAGTCCGTCGAGAGTCTGAAGATTCGTCGGAAGTACTGCCAGAACCAACCGAGAAGAAATCGGAGACTTGCCGAAGTTTTCGAAAGTCCACCGAAGAGATCGTCGGAGGTTCGTGGAGATCATCGAGAAGGTTTGGCTACTTGCCAAAGACTCGCTGAACTCGCCACAAGACCGGGAGCCTACTGGGAGTCCGCCGGAAGAAATTCGAGGGTGTATCGGAAGTCCGCCAGAAGTTCGCCGAAATGCTCGTTGGAAGAAAACTCAACGTTGCCGGTTAAAAACTTGCTTAGGACTATGTCTTAATTTCATAGTTTGCATGTAATTAGGGTTAGGATTATGGGTTAATCCTATAACCCGATTAGGGGTCAATTGGGCCCAAGTTTGGACTGGTTTGGGCCAAGTTTGGAGCCCAACAAGTGAGCTGAAATAGTCTAGGCGGTGGCACCGCCCAGCACCCGAGAGGTCCGACGGTGGCACCACCGGACTGGGCGGTGGCACCACCAGTACACTGTTAGTGTCATACACTGATAGATAGTGGCACCATTACTGACAGGCGATGGCACCACCAGCACCGGGAAACCCAAAAGCAATTCAAATTTGGAGCCCAAATTTAAATCCTCTTGGGGCCTATAAATATCCCTCAATTCTTAGCAGAGAATACAACCTTTTGAGAAGTTAGAGATTGAGAAAAAGCCTTAGCAAAGTCTTTAGCAAGTCTTGTTTTCAATAGCTTAAATGTTCACCTCCCTCTTTCTCTTTGAAAAATCTGTAAGAGTGTGAACCATTTATAAAAGGTTATAAGAGGGGTATTTGTCCTTCCCCTTCAAAGTAATTTGCTAGTAGAAGTTGGGAGCCTCATTGAAGAAGGCTTCGCAAGTGGATGTAGGTTATTTTGACCGAACCACTTTAAATTGGTGTGTTCATTGAATGTGTGAGTATTTACTTTTCTGAAACCGTTATTTACATAACAATAAGCTTTTGGTTTTCATCTTTTTACTTTACTCGAGCTACTTTCTCCAAGTCATTCATTGTCGCTTTCAAACTTACTGAGTTTTAATCTGCTACACTAATTCACCCTCCCCCCCTCTTAGTGCCACTCCGAACCTAATATTACATTCACAACAAGTAGATGTCATTATTTGCGAAAGTAGACGAATCCTAAACTTTCTTCAATTTGACGTGTCCCCTCCAAATTATAGCCACTACTTGATTATAAAAATTATAAAAATAGGACTTTATTAGTATAATAAATAATTAATATAAAAAATAGTTTATAATGAATATGAGCGTAACTTTTCGATTCATATTGTACTGACATAATATAGTTATAACATCGAAGAATAAACTAATTATTTTTTTTAATTAACCCTTTATAATAACATCGATTATATCAGTAATACTCGATAAGAATCGATATATAATATTTTTTGAGTATTGATAATCGATCTGGTTGTATTATAAGATTATACTGAAATTGAATAATCAGATTTAGATAATATAATATATAAGATAAATAATTTTATTAGTAAGAATTTTTAAATATTAAAAATTATGAATTAAATTACTTGAGATCTTAGTTTATATGAACTTCAGTGATGTGATCGATGATATATAAATATTGGTTAGACTTAAAATCATTTGTGAATGTTTTTCTGATCTCTTCTTTTGTTATAATAAAAATATATCTAAGATAAAGTATTTGAGGATGTTTTTCTATACCGATATTGTAGAGGACAACGTAAAGTGGTTCAACTCCTATTATAATTTCATTTATAATATTCTAAAATCCAGAAGAAAAAATAATATTTTTATCTTCTTTTAGGTGGTCATTGCCTTGAGTCTCTATCTCTTTTATAGTATTGACCTTAAGACAATTAAATTTGTAATGAACCGAGTGACTCCTGAATATCTCACTATTTACATACTTTTTCATTAAAAAGTGGACCTAATAATGATTATGCATAGACTTTATGATCGACTTCGCTTAAGCTATACACTTGTTAACCAATGATATCGTATCAATATACTTCAACATTAGATCCATACAATGAACTACACATGAAGTCCAAAATAATATATATATTTTTCGTTAATTGTAAATCAGTCATTTTGAAATTGGCTCTATTGTCGATTATTATCTGAATAATGTACTATGGTATGATCTTCTCTACTACGATGTTCATCAGGTTTTCAATATAGTTTGCATCTTGAATCTTATCAGAAGCATTGATTTATGAAAAATTATCTATATGTTGTAATTTATAAGAAAATTGAGAATACTTATTCTTATTAATCCTATCAAATTGTCACATATCAGTATCACCTCATATTCATCCCGTTGTCTCTTAAAGAATTTGATTCAGTCATTTAATTCTGTCACCTTCTCATTTAAATACATATTGTGGATATCCTTCGGTGTTGGAAGTTAAATCATTATGCTAGACTTTTAAATAGAGAATATTATGTTTTGATAATATGGACCTTGGGCTATGTTTGTTAAAACCATGTGAAAGTTAAATCATTTTATAATCACTTTCTTAATATTTCACTTCTTTTCTTTTGTACATGCATCATCAATCTATACTTGCTTCATTATTTATAGAGGATATGCTTGTAGATTAATATTAATAATATCTTGTGCTAACCTTTTGTCAAGTTCTCTTATAAAACTATAGATTTCACCTCGTCTTATATTACCAATTTGACTTAATCGAGGTGGGACAAGTGAATGTCCAATACTAGTTGACCTCAGAATTTCTTATAGTGTAAACCCACTACTACTATGCTTCCATTATGAGTCAGGTCGTTAATATCTCATTGCTTTGTCGCATATGTATTGATACACTAATGATGCATAAATACTAGCTTTAAAATTTGGGTCGATATCATCCTCGCAACCCTTATATTTATCATATATTGATTCTTGTTTAGCCTATTGATTTTTTTTTCTTAGCTCTTGTTTTCTTTTTCATTATATCTTCTATTATCTATTATAACCCATCCTGAAAAGATTTATGGACCTCCGTCGAAATCTTTTTTTATTTTACAATATTGAGATACCCACCAGCTATGTATCTTCACTCGGATGATTCCTCCACTCTTACCAATATAGTTATAATAAATACATTGCTAATGATAACGACTTCATCTATCTTCCGAGCATGATTCCTAGCATCATCTTGTGTTTATTCCTTTGGTGTTATGTTCTTATCAAACTTGAATCAAATAAATAAGTTATGATTAACCTTAATTAAAAAATATATATATGATTATACTTAATAAACCTTATTTTATCACTATATACATGTTAATCAATCTAAATAAGTAGAATTAACTTAATATCATTAAATATGCTAATTATAGCAATAAAAATATTAATTAAATATTAATTAGCTCTATTTTACCATTATAAATATGTCAAACACCTAAGAAGTATTAAATGTGTAAATTTAATCCAAATACTCCCTAACTAATAATATTTTATTATAAAAAATATGTCAAATAATATATCAATATTAAATCATTAACCACATAAAATAGGCTTAACCATCTCATAAAAAATAAAAAAAAATAGAAAAAAAATATATACCTCTTGACTGGAGTGTCTACATTTTGATTAAATTTACAAATCATAGTTTTATTGAGTTTAATAGAGTAAAAATATGAGAATAAAAGAGAGATGTGAGTGAAAAGAGTTTGAGATAATTAAAATCGAGAGAGTGAAATATATTGAAAGAAAGAGAACAAAGTGTTTAAAAATCCTTTCATATGGTTCATTATCGATGACGTTCGAAAATTTGATCGTTATTGATCAGTACAAGTCAGTAATGATCAAATTTTGATCATTATCGATTAGTACATATCCCGAATCGCTTGATATGAGATCATGTAACATTTACTATTTAGTATAGGATGGTCTGTGTATCGATCCCCCGTCGAACCAATATAAATCACCCATATCATATGGTACACCATAGTATAAATCACCCATATCAGATGGTACACCATAGTATAATAAACATTAGATAGGGATGTGTATAAAGATGCGGTGGCCAATTAGACACTTGTTCTTACCATATATGACAATAAAAAATATCAATCATCTCTATCTTTATTCTTATTTATTTTATTATTTTTATCCCTTTGTGCTGGCCTATCCAAACTTGCGAGAATAATTAACACTTCTAGTCGATGGAAAACGAAAAATATTTTTATTAGTTTGAATTAAAAAAACATATTCTCAGGTTAAATCAATTAAGGGTGTTAGTAAAAATCGAACAGTAAAAAAAAAAAAAGGATAAAATGCCCTTGAATGATCATTAAAAGAAATAGTTTATTCCAAACTTATCTCTCCAAAATTGGAAATCCATTGCCGTGGCCAAAAAAGCTCATATGCTTACCAGCATTTGCCACCCACATCAATTGAACACACATTTCTCTTTAATTCCGTCCTTCTTATGCGATTGTCAAATATATATATATATATATATCTCTAAATAAATATTATTTCTACATGGTTAACACGTACTCACTTCTGTCCCTTCCTTGTCATTGGAGTAAACGGTGGCCCCATTGTTGCCTTCATGTGGGTAATGGAAATCGCGTAAAGAAAGAATGGGCTGATACATTAAACGGCCCGATGAATCTGTCTCTCTCTCTCCCTCTCTCGCTGTCGCGTCGTACGTCGTTCCCACACGATTTGAAAGCCCCAAACCCGTTTGGTTTCCCAGCGACGCATCCCCATCTCGAGTCGTTGCTTTCTTTTGGCGTTTCCCTCACTCCACTCCACTCCACTCCGCCCCACTCCACTCAACGCACAAACCCCTCTTCTCCCTCTCGCAGCTCAAAAAGAAGCAAACTCTCTGTTCAAACCCTAACCCATTTTTCTCGGAGATCGAGGAGGATGACGAGGATGCGACGTGCGAAACCCTAGGAGAGAGAGGGAGAGACGAGAGAGATCGGGGCGCGGTAGCAGATGGCGAACAACGGACAGCCGCCGCGACGGCCCCGGCAGGGCCCCTGGCCGCCTGCTCCGGACCCTACGCCGGCCCCTGCGCCGCTCTCCTGGGCAAAGAGGACCGGTTTTAAGGGAAGGGTCTCCGGCGAGTCCAACGCCAGTAATTCCGGCCAGATTGCGCTCCCCAGGCCCAAGGAGCCGGGATCCAACCTCGATCTGGAGGCAGGGTCTAGGGACAATGTTGCTACTCCTCTTCCGCCTCCTCCTGGCGCCGCCGCCGCTGCCGTCGCTGTCAATGGGGAGCCGGAGAACAGGGCGGGAGGAGGAGGTGGTGGAGCAGTCCCGTTGCCAGCCGATCAGACGGCGAGGAAGAGCAGGGATTCGGATGGTGGAAACAAGAGTGCAGGTTCTGGACCCAATGGACAGGTGGTCCGGTTTGATGAGCCGTCAAGGCATCGGAGGGAGGAGGAGACGGCCACGCTGCCTCAGCTAGAAGAGGACGAGGAAGGCTTCCCGTCAAGGCAGGTTCATATTAAGTATGAGCTGAGGGATAGTCCGGGTCTTGGTGAGGATTCATCATTCATCTACTCTTCTCAAGATTGATCTTTTTATTGGCTTCATAATCCTAACTTTTGCTTTTGTTATCTTCAGTGCCGATAGTCTTTTATGGATTCCAGCACTATTTATCAATAATCGGTTCTTTGATTCTGATCCCATTGGTTTTAGTTCCAGCTATGGGCGGCAATTATGTGATACATCTTCTCCCCCTCGTGACACTTTCTTTCTCTTTTAATTCATTATAAGAGTCGGGTTGTTACAGATTATTGCATATATTTGCAGGAAGATACTTCTGCGTTGGTGTCGACTGTCTTGTTTGTTTCAGGAGTGACAACATTGTTGCACACACTCTTTGGAACTAGGTTGCCACTCATACAGGGCCCTTCTTTTGTGTATCTGGCTCCAGCATTAGCAATAATAAATTCTCCAGATTTTCAGGGTCTTAATGAGAATGTGAGTTTTTTTTATATGTATTTAACGCTTAAGATTTTATTCCTTATTATCATATCTAAATTCAATCAAATTTGAAAACGGTGAATGCGCAAGCACATGCCAGAGTATAGGAACTTGGTAAAAACCATTGAATTATGTACCATGATTTCGTACTGTGTGCTTGACTAATTGCAAACATGTTAGGTGATAGAGCCATAGACAATGGTCTCATGACTATGTCAGCTGAATGCACACAATTTCAATCAAATTTAACTTTTCCATATTTGAATCAATGAAGCATATAGGTAATTTTTCCAGTCGAGAGAACTGAGTCCAGGCCATTGTATATTTCCAATTTGATTTATTGTTTTGGTGCTTATCGTTTACTTCGAGGTTGGCCTTCTTATGATGAGGGAGGAATGACCCAACCCGGTTCGGGCCCGACGTTGGCAATGTTGCCATCTTGAGACGTTGAGGATGGTCGAAAAAAAAGCTGCTGCGAATCTGGTTACTGCACCACTCAAGATCCTGCAAAAGACAGAGGTCGGGGTCACCCGACTCGGTCCCTCCAATGCTTCAATCAATAGTGTCCGAAGTATCGAGAAAAATAAAGGTGCCCTCTCCCTAGAGAATGGAAGAGGGGGTATTTATACCTGTGTCCTTATGGTCACAGGTGGTTTGAGCGGTTAAAACAGTTACGGGCATGGTGCAATTGCCCACCGAGATGGCAGTTGATGTGGCATAACGCCCACTTGGTGGGCTGGCATGGCTTAACAACCCGCCAAGTGGCGTAACGCCTGCTGACATGGCTTAACAACCTGCTAAGGTAGCCTAACGCCTACTGGCATTGCTTAACAACCCACCAATGTGGTGTATTGCCTGCTGATGTGGCTTAACAACCTGCCAAGTGGCGTGATGTGGGCTGACGTGGTGCAACAACAGGTTAATCCATCACAACTGTCATCCCCTTATATGGCCACATGTCACAATTGACATTCGGAAGTGGGGGCCTGTTTTACTAAGGTGGAGGTGCCCATGTGTCAATCCTTGGATGGTTCATTGTGTCCCTTATCACTTATGACTTGGATATTATTACAAATTTCACTGCTTTACCAGTCATTTATATCTTAACTAGGTTCATATTTATTTTGAACTTGAAGAATCTTTTTATTTTTTGCAGAATTTTAAGCACATAATGAAGGAGCTACAGGGAGCTATAATTATCTCTTCTGCATTTCAAGCAATAATGGGGTATACTGGAGCAACATCATTGCTTTTAAGGTGTGTTCATTCTGGCTTACATTAAAATATGCATGTACCATGTCATGAGAATACATCTTCATGTCAGCCTCCCATGATATCTATACATTTTCTTGATTGGTTTAACATTTATATTAATAGATGTTTGTTGATGTAACATTTAGTTAAAATTTTAAGGTTGCAGTGCTGTTTTAGCTTCTTTCTTGTAATAGTATTTTGGCTTGTAGCTTTACAGGTTCACTTTTTTAAAATTTTTTTTGAATATGAACCTGTGCTGTTTGAGTAACATATAGTTTGAATATAATGCTTGGCTTGAATGTGAACAAATTTGGCTTGTCTTGTGCTGTTTAAGTTGTAAAAGATTTTCCAAGTGATGGGAAGCTAAAACAGTGAACCTGTATTAACTCAAAGTTGAACAAATTAAGTTAGTTTGATGCTTAGACATAAATATTCAAAGTAGCAACTATGTTTAGAGATGAGTAGCTGATTTGTACGTGAAGCAAATTATTAAGCAGATAATAAACCTAATAACAAATTGAAAGCTGGTAAGACTTCGTGGTGTAGAACAAAAAGAGATAGATAGAGAGAGAGAGAGAGAGAGAGAGAGAGAGAGAAAGAGCAAGAGAGCAAAAGAGGAGTGAGATTAGAGGGGAGAGTAAGAGACTAGAAGAGAGAAGATGCAAGTGTTTTTCATTCAAATCTAACGTGTTTCATCGATTGATAAAGCTCCACTATTTACAGGAGTTTAGGAGCCTTAGTGCAATCAATGAAAACAGTGATTCTCAAGAGTAACATCCTAGGAAACTTATATGCCTTCTAGAAGCTTACAATATGACTTCTAGGATACCTATAGTTTTAAAAATACCTATAACAGTTGAGAAGTAAAAGAGTGCACTTAATACGAAAGTAGAATCCCAAGGTTAACACCTCGAATTACCAAAAGATTTTTTTTGTTTTTCACACAACTCTTAAAGTTTCTAGGCTAACTAATTGATGATTTTTTGTTGCTTTCTTTGTCTAAAATAAACTATTCTGAAATCCTTTATAACCGTAGATGGTTCTCGATCACTTTGCTGTTGACCAAATATAACTTTAGCATTAAGCAGTTAACCATATCTGCAGTTGAACATGGCATGGAGTAAGAGCATGACCTGCCTATGCTTGCCCATATGATTAAATACTGCACTTTTAACTTATATATTGCTTCAATGATATTGATATTGAAGTGCTGGATTCCAGTGTGCTCTTCCTGGAAGTCTGGCGCTTATAATGTGCTTGCACATTGCAACACTCAGACTTAATTGTTTGTTGCAGGTTGATTAATCCAGTTGTTGTATCTCCGACAATTGCAGCTGTTGGACTTTCTTTTTTTAGTTATGGCTTCACTCAAGTAGGAAATTGTCTGGAGATTGGTATGATGCAGATATTGCTGGTTATCATTTTCTCACTTGTGAGTTTCGGCAATGATTACATCTGATACATCTTGGCTGTTTTATGCTATATGACATTTACAATTTGCAGTATCTTTCTGTTTCTTAGCTTTTATGATTTATTTCTGTGTTTGTTTCATCTGAGTTGCCTTTGCTGTTCCTTCTGCAGTATCTTCGGAAGATTCGCATATTTGGTCATCGAATATTTTTGATCTATGCGGTAAGCTTGACTAACAATCATGGACAAAAATTGTTATTTTTCATGTCATAAGATGAATCTAAGTGATTTTGGCAACATATCACCCTGTGAGAATCTTGCTGTGCCATTTACAGGTCCCTTTGGGTCTGGGAGTTACATGGGCTATCGCATTTCTTCTTACAGAATCTGGAGTGTATAACTATAAAGGTTGTGATATTAATGTACCTGCCTCCAATACTCTATCAGCATACTGCAGAAAGCATGTGCCAAGGATGAAACACTGCCGTACAGATACTTCTCATGCCATAAAATCTTCACCATGGTTTAGACTTCCTTATCCATTGCAATGGGGCACACCTGTTTTCGGTTGGAAAATGGCCATTGTTATGTGTGTAGTATCCATTATTGCAACAGTTGATTCGGTGAGTTTCTTGTTTGCTTTACAACAATATTCAGCTTTTGTCATTCTTGAAATATTTGTTGCATATCTTTCCAATGATGATATTGATTTGCATTGTCCTTATTGGCAACTTAGCTTATTTCTTATGTATAATCAATATTTTTTATCAAAGTTTAGAATGAAAATTCATCTCTATATTTTTGTTCTTTTGTTGGAAGTTAGAGCAAAAGGTTACCAACTCTATTTTATCATACATTTGTTGAAGTATTAATTAACTTTGTCCATAATAGCATTTGTGCTTATACCTTCTATTTTGATTAGACTTTTTTCCCCAAATTTTACTACCCTATAATCAGAATTTTTATTTGAGGATATTAAATTTTAGGATGAATATTCAGTTTGATTGTTCCCAACTGTGAGTGATGCTGGTCAATATTGTTCATTGTGTGCGCTCCTGGAATTAAACTGTGGAGAGAAATTATAAAGAGATTGCATTTTAGCTGCAGCAAACACACAAAAGGATGAAACAAGGTATTGGTTAGATTTGAGGGACCTTTGTAGTGAAGAGGGAGATCTTCCATGATAAGACAACTACAAAGGAGAAATGGATGAACCATAAATCATTGTGAACTTCTGAAACATCAGGCTGTGCAGTTCAGGTGACCTCAAACCTGATAAGCAAAAACTGGGAAAACCATCAACTTGGATGTCTTGAACAATCCAGTTATTTGATGAACCACTTGTTTCTTCAGTTTTCATGGGTTGAACAATTTGATCAATACTGCTATTCCTGATTTCATATTCATCCATATAGTTTTCAACAGTAAAAAAAAGCAAAATATTAAATCTATCAAATCATTTTTCATATTTTAGTCTGGCATCTTATTTGGAAAATTGCATCAAAAGAATTATCAAGTGTGTAAATTTAAAAGTATTTTATTATTTTATTTCTGATGTACTTGTTGGTACTTGATCGAACTACAGTCCAACCATCAACCATATTCCAGTAACCATCAAACCTTGACCCATAGTTGTCTAGATTGGGTTTTAAAATGCTATTTTAGTATATAAAAATCTAATCAGATCACTGAAATGGTAATTGCTTTTAAGGCATACTATAGCCTATAGATAAATTTGTCTCTTTGGATATGTAGTGTTGGGATTGTCCTCTTATTGATAGTTGATACTTGAGAGCCAGAGGCTTGAGAACAGATTCTTGGTGAGTTGTGATTTATGCTAGTGTTGAATGATATTCTGTCGATTAATATTTTCTAGAGGGTGTGACTGAATGTTAGATTGGTACTGGAGAAAGATCTTAATAGTAAGAGGTTATGGTGCTAGACCAGATTGGAAAAACATCATACATGCATGCATTAGTAGAATGGTGACACATGTGATCAGCATAGACAACTAGAACTGGGTGATTGAAATAGGGGCTGCTCTAGGCTGTCATGGGAGCTATGCATAATATTTTAAGGAAATACTCTATCAAAGATGCGAGATGCATTGTATGGGGGAATTTTTTGGTAATAGGAATGATCCAGGTCAATACCATGTTCGAGCATCAATAAAAATATTGCTTGATATCAGGGATTGCTGTACTGCTCGAAATGGTATGGTATGGTCGGTACGTATTGGTCTGGGCATAGGCCAATATGCGGACTACCCCATTTCAAGTGGTCCAGTTAAAATAATAAAAAAATCAAAAAAGTGGTAGACCTCTGTCCAACTCGTGAACCCTTTTCTTGCATACGATGTCGTTACCCTTGCCGCTGCAGCTTTTGCTTCGCCATTGCTACTTTTTCTTCGCCATTGTTGCTGCCACTTTGCCATTGCTGTTGCTACCCAAGTACGCCGTCGTTGCCTCTGCTTCTCCTCTTCTTTTTTCTTCTTCTCTTCTTCCTTCTATTCCTCCACTGCCCTTTCCTCTTCACCCTCTATTTCTTCCTTGTCAAAACACCAGTATGCATCGACATTCTATGTGTCGGTATGTCGGTATTGATCGGTTCATACCGGTTTGATAGATTGCCGAGATGGGTCCGGGATTATAAATGGTGAACCTTTGTTGATATGCCTCAATGGAGAAATATATGTGAGACAAACATAACTAGTATTAGATTATTGTAACAGGGGATGTGCGTGCATAAATTTTTGAATTCTGTAAAGATATGAGATGCATTGTTTTTGGCAATGGGGATGGTCCAGTTTAATACCGTTGTCTGAGCATTGAAAAAAACATTGTGATCAATATGTTATAAGTAGAAGTGAACTGTGGGAAACAGTTAATTCCAAAAAGCTGCATACATTTGATTGGAAATTGAAATGATTGGATATGATGAATTACAAAGAACATTCAAAGGTTGGTATTTTATTTCTTAACCTTTGATATATTTTTATTAGTTTACACAGGATAATGCACTATCTGTAGAAGGCTATTGATGAACATAATGTGATTCATCGAGTATAATCTCAATAAGCATGCATTACGAAGCCAGCATGAGGCTGAATGCAACATGAATGCGCTATCATTTTTTATTAACATTATATTTATTAATATAATGAAGTTTGTCAGATAACAATCAATCAGCTGCTGAGGTATTGTGATCAACAGTGAAATAGTTTTCAGAGTTAGACTAATCTTTCTATTATTATTACATGAATATCATGGAACAAGTAGCACCTTAGTGGCAGCTGGTGAAAGTCAGATATAAGCTGTAGTCCAGGACTTGTCTCAGAATAGATTACAACATCTATATGCATCTCCTTATCAAATCTAACATCCAGGCGACAATCAACAATCAGTACTTTTGGATGAATAGTTGTTTAGAAACCAATGATTTAAAAAGCGTTAGGCACCAAGGTCCAAAAACGCTCGAGACGCTAGGCGCTCACCCGAGCAAAGTGAGACGCTAAAATATAAAAATATAAAAATATATAATATAATTAATAAATATAATTATACTTCGGATCTTTTAGATAATTATACTTCCATGCAAGATCTTTTTTTTGATATCATTGGAGAATCAATTGAGTTGCTCTGAACACTTGTTATTTATCCTGAAATCTAACAATAATTTAAAATAAATAAAAATTAATAATATTAAAATTAAAATAATATATTATTGATCTAATAAATAAAAATACTGTTACTAGTATACAGTTAGTAGTATACTGTTAATATACTGTTAACAGTATACTATCAATGTGAGAAGAGTGTGAATAAGAGGAAGACCGAGGCTATTGATTGAGAGCAACGACAACGGTAGCAACGACGAGTAATGATTGTGGCAGCGGCGCGTTGCAATAGTGGCAGCGGCGAGAAGCGACAGTGGCAGCAACAGTGGAGAGAGGCAACGGTAGTGGAGAAGAAATCTCGGCGACAGAATCGCGAGCAGGGTTAGGGTTGGGGAAGTTGCGAGAGGGATGCTAGGAGGTTGATATCGGTGCTTTAGTTGGTTCCATTGAACCAACCAAAGCACCAGAGACCGAACCAGACCTAAAACGTTGGTTCGGTCACTTGGTTTAACTCGGGTGTTCGCTCGAAGCGCCCGACGCTTGGGCTTGGGCGAGCGCCCAGGCAGCGCCTCTTTGAAACGCACCGTCTAGAAATGAAGCGAGGCACTTGGGCCTCGCCTCGCCCCGCCTGAGCGCCTATTGAAATCAATGTTAGAAACCAGACCATATATTTGGGAAGGGATAGATTGAAATTAGAAGAGTACTCAGAGAAGGAAAAAACAAGCAAAGGGAAAAAAAAAAATGGGATAAAGAAAAGAAGAAAGCACTAGGGACGAAAAAAGGTTTTTCTCAAAATTATTTATCAACATTATCATACAACTTCATAGAAACAGCAGCATCCTTTTTATCATTTGCTTTGACTAAGAATTCAACTAAGATATCAATCTAGAACTGAAAACTCACTAAAACAATCTCGCCTGTTCTCAATTATCTGATTACCCTATATTCAAAGTAGGTCTGGTAATGGTCACAAGCTAGGCCACATCTGGTATAAGGAAAAGGTCACAGCCAGTTTTGATATCAATTTTCCTTTTCTTCTTTCATCCATTTCCTTTTGTATTAACGTTTTTTCTTCATATATTTGGTATTAGTTTATTGTATGCTCATGATGACTTGGGGAAATGTGTATAATAGGGAAAAAAAACCCTGCTTTGTTTTGGCTATTGTTTTCTCTAGTTTCCCATGGATATGTTAGGACAAGCCTTTCCTTTGGAGGATGCTGATCGAATGACATGTCACTTACTAACTAAGAGCATCAGAAGAGGGACATCTTAATTTACTTTAAGCTGAACATATTGCTTGAATGGATATTCATATCATTTTTGTGAATCTTCAGGCAATTATGTTCAAATAACTTGCTGCAATTTGGGCATCACATATTTGACTCTTCTGCAAAGCCTAATTTTGGTTATTAAGGCTTTCTACATCAATTAAATTGCAGACTTGTTGATTTTTTTGTTTTTTTTAGTTTGTTCTGTTGAATGTCTTACTTGATGCTTTCTTTTCACGAAAGTGCAGAATTTTTTCCCCATCCTTTTCTATTTCTCTGATATTTGGTTCCTTTACAAGGTTGGTACATACCATGCTTCATCTTTGTTGGTGGCTTCAAGACCTCCAACAGCTGGAGTTCTTAGCAGGGGTATCGGTATGGAAGGCATCTCCAGCATTCTTGCTGGTCTTTGGGGCACAGGAGTTGGTTCAACAACTCTTACAGAAAATGTTCACACTATTGCTGTAACTAAAATGGGCAGTCGCAGAGCAGTTGAGCTGGGTGCTGTCATTCTGATTCTTCTATCTTTTGTGGGTAAGCAGCAGTTCTGTTTTCCTTCTTCAAGCAGTTAAATGTACTGGAAGCTTTGCGAAAAGGATAATGATATAATAATAAAACAATAAACATTCTACCTTATTGTTTACTTTGGTTTTTGAAATTTCTGTTCTATTGCTTCAATTATGTTTTTTTTTTCATTTGAGTGTTCAATTTTCTTCTATAAACAGGTAAAGTTGGTGGCTTCATTGCTTCTATCCCTGATGTCATGGTTGCTGGACTCTTATGCTTTATGTGGGCCATGCTTGCTGCTTTGGGCTTGTCAAACCTACGGTACAGTGAGACAGGAAGCTCCAGAAATAGTATCATAGTTGGACTCTCTTTGTTTTTCTCCTTATCTGTACCTGCATACTTCCAGCAATATGGACTTGTTCCCAATGCAAATTCATCTGTACCGAGTTACTTCCAACCATATATTGTGGCATTGCATGGGCCTTTTCACACCGGATATAAAGGGGTATGTCTTAGTCTTTACCATGGATATAAGCTCTACATGTATAATTGATTTTTTGTTCAACTCAAGAGAGAAATGCAAATTATATTACTGTTTCTTTTGATATAGATAATACAAGTGAATGGTCATTGGTTGTTTCATATTTCATGATTACCATATAATCATAATCATTCATCTAACATACTATATGAATTTTACAAGTTTATTTTAAATTTAAGCCAAAGATGGTTGTTTTGGAGTTGTCCACGATGCCATCCAGACTTGTTGGTTGGTTGTCAGGTAAGGATTAAGGAGGCTTGACCCATCAGTTCGTAGCAGGGCCTCAAAGCCATGTATATAACCCAAATATATTTTAATCAGTGTTGGACTTAGGTCCCTTGGGTCTATGATGGGCGTTTGGTCCTTTTTACACCATTAGTTTGAACTTCAAAACCCTATGTCTCCCGCTTAAATGACCCATGTCCACACACCCTTTGCTGCTAGTCCCTACAAAATTAGGAGACCAGCAATCTAATTCTTAAGAAGTTGCAGGCATAGAAGTTTAAATTCACTAAGCTAGTCCCTATCAATTAGGTGGTCAGTAAATTGTCATTTTGTTTTGGTGGTATGTTATATCAGCCACAAAACGAAACAAGAAAGGCTGAAGTGATACAGGCTGAGCTTGGAGATTCTGGCAGTAGAATCATAGATTAATTAGTAGGTGTCTTGAATTGATTTGGCTGAGTTAAATGATTTGTGTTATTATGGGTAGAACATTTCAATCATAAAATGAATTGGGAGGATTGGAGGTTAAGGGGGAAGTAGATGCATTATGAGTTCTCTGTTGGCTGTTCTCTCTTGATCAATGAATGAAACTTCTTTAAAGAAATATGGTATGCATCATCACAAAGAAATGATTAGGATTGAAAGTTGATTCAATTAAAATATTGGATATATAATCACGCAGAAATAAGTAAGTTAGAATTAAAAGTTAACTTGTGTTGCTTATGCGGTGCATAGACTTGCATTTTTCATGTGTATGGGCTTTTGAAGACATAAATATAAGTCAACTAGAATGTTAAATATGTTGCATACTGAATACATTGAATTGCACCTTTTATTTGTATTTGCCTTTTCAGTTTCAAAAGCCCACAAGGTAAATGTTAGATAGTATCATTGATGTCATGGAATCTTTTTATTATGCAAGCTGTGAAAACTGAGCATTGTTCATCTTGCGTGTTAGCATGACTTTGATAAAGCCTGTTGGAACAAGAACCTCATGACTACAAATTATGATTAGCAATCTTTAATTTAAAACGATGCACTCATAGCTACAGATTATGATCGGTAATCTTTAATTTAAAAGGATGCATCAAATGGTTTTGGTGCGGGGAGAGCCAGTAAATCACACGTAATCCCAATTATGAATACTATATACTGTTGTGCATGTTTTCTACTTTTGGAATAAGTTAGTGTTCATTGGTGACAAGACTCTCAAGAAGCCTCCTCCCTGCTCCCTTTTATCTCGTTGCGTGTAAACTCAGGGTTCATTGGATCAGTGAGCCCAATCTAGGGATGGAACAGTCTCATTTTAATTCCACAATAGTTTTTAACCAAATCGTAGAATATTTGGCGGATCTGTGAGAAATTGATTGAGATCAGTTGGGAATTGGTCTGAACTAGCTGATCCTTGCCAATCTCGGCAAATCTCAATCAAGAGATTTGAAGAAAATAGCTTATAGCAGGACTGGTGGATGTGTGGTGCTGCCCCTATCTTTTGGATCAAATGAGATGTGGCTAGTCTCTACTGATGCTGGTGATGAACACAAAAGAGATGGGGAGAGAGAAGCTCAAGTAGTAGAAAATGCTGCTGCTACTGCACCGTTGATGTGGGTGGGCAACCCTGTTGTTATTTGCTCTCCTGAGGTTGGTAGAGAGAGAGAGGAGGGAGAATGAAGGGGAGTCCTTAGTCAATGGGCGGCAGCAAAACACTGACCGCGGGTGGCAGCAAGGTTTGGGAGTATGAATCCATGCAGTGGAGTTCTGCATCTCATTATTGAACCTATGCACTATATGGATATGATCTTAAATACATCTCTTCATTCTCTCTTCCCTTTTGTCATGTTACATTTTTCTAAAATAATGTATAACCAAGTTTTCTATAGGTATGCATGATTTATTTTTTCTTCAACATAGATGATATTTCCACTATATTTTGTTATTATTTATTTATTTCTACTTTTAATTAAAAATTAGTTTTTAATTGATCATGGCGCCAGAAATCCCAATCCCTGACCCTAGTCTATCCTGATCCTGCAAACTTTGCATGAGCCATGAAATTGTGCCATATGAATGGGGCACCGAACTCAGGCCTCTGCTGAATATTTTCACTTGTAAAAGAATTTGTGCCGTCATGTCCGAATGTATTTTGTTTCTTTGAAGTAATTAAGGAGATGCAGTACATTTATTTGAGCTTGCTGAAGGGCTGAACATCTGTCAGGTTGTGCTAAAAAAGAAAGGGTTCTGGAAACAGGGCATGTCACAAGTCACTACGGTGAAGAAAGTATAACAAGACAGAACGATGGATCATAGTGTAGGGCAGATCATAGTCACTACATCGTCAAAAGTAAAAAAGACATTTCAAATAGTGTAATCATAAGATTATGTCATCCATTAAACATCTACACTTTTAGTCATCTTTATTTTGGTTCTTGAAGTTTTTCTTGGAAGTTGAAGTGCAGAAATTCTTACAGCAATTATGGATACTATACCTTAGGTGTCACAGTACATTAACCACCTAAAGTTTTTTCATATATAAATCTTGTACTTTTAGTTTATCCAACAACCAACATCAGGTTACAGATTCAGTTTAACAATATCGTGGAATGACTTTATTACTGGGTGGTGAATTCTACGTGGCACTATAATGAACCTAATGCTTTATGATGAAATGCAGCATTTCACGTGCAGATAAAATAGTTATTGATTTGGACAAAACATGATTTCTTGACACTCAGATTATATTTGTATTATTAGAACTTTTGATATCTGATACACTGATGGTTTCCATTGTTGTATTCCTTACAGATAGATTTCGTTTTGAACACATTGCTGTCATTCAACATGGTGATAGCATTTCTTGTTGCTGCAATCCTTGATAATACTGTTCCTGGTAGTAAACAAGAACGAGGGGTGTATGTTTGGTCTGAACCAGAGGCGGCAAGAAGGGAAGCATCCGTGACAAGAGACTATGAGCTTCCTTTCAAAGTTGGAAAAGTTTTCAGATGGGTCAAATGGGTTGGTCTATGAAAAGTTATATAAAGATTGGTACACGTTGCGTATGGATGACCTATCCCAGAAACATAATCACAACTCAGACTCAAGGCATCTTTCATGTGGATCGAGCACAGAAAATAGTTGCCCGATCTGTGCTTTCTTTCTCCAACTTGGTCTGAGAATTCTGATGACATTTGCCTGTTTGATCACGATGAGCATGTGCAGTGTGGTTTGATTATCTCGTCCAAGATACCAATTTCTCGTAATGTGTTTCACTTTCACAGCATGTGTTCTATAATTTTTTGCATAGTTCATGAGTGGGATGATCTGATTTCCTTCTGAGTGTTAGGTTTTGAGAGTTTGTGAATCTGAATTCATGTACAGCAACTGCACCTGCACTACTCGAGGACCTTCTGAAAGTTAACGGCCTGTTATATTTTCTGCTCGAGTTGTACTGTTGCGTGATATTAGTTGTATGGGTGTTCAAATTATGTATTGCTCTTTCAACCTGCAGAACAGAATAACTTGTTTGGACACAGGACTAAGATGCAGATATTATAATGTTGGATCATGGCAGCCACCATACATTTGTCTTTATTTTATTGTTCTGATTCAACTTTTCAATCTGTGCGCCTCGGAGTCTGCGGCCATGACAGATAAGTTCCTGCTTGTAACCTCTAGTCGTTTTTGATTTATCTCGGTTCTGTCTGATCTGTCTACTTCTTCCCTGCAGGTCAATCAATCTTTGCGACATAGATTTTTGACTGATTATCTGCCCGGATCGATTTTCTTGGGTATTTATTTAGGAATATTTATTTAGAATCTTCAACAAGGATTCTTAAATAGCTTAGATATCTACTCGTGTCTATTGATTTGCTTAAATTAGGTTTAAATATCTATTTATCTATTGATCAGTTTTTAGGATAATTCAGACAGGGAATCTATGCGACCAAATATAGTGTTTGTGGCTGTTTGGGTAAAATCTAGACCTTTGTTGCACGACCGAAGATGTCTACCCTTGCCTTGGCCAATAAAACTCATGGCCGCAATAATAGATCCTCGAGTGATGTCCTAACTCGAGGACTTGGTAATGGATCAGTGGCTCACCTAAATAAATGACCAAAGATATATAGCACGAGAACGTTACATGTGTGATTCTTGATTAGAATTAAGACGCGCCATTTGCTTCGACTTCGTACACGTACCAATCAACCCATTATTGATGCACAGCACAATAATTAATGCACAGCACATCAAATAGGACATGCAACTTCGTACACGTACCAATCACCAAACTAACGAATTTGCAAATACAAGGCTTTAAATTGAGGATCTAATAGCCAGAGATAGGGGTGTCAATAATCCAATTCCTCAAACTAGGATCTAATTAAGATGATGGTTTGACCGACGGATTCCAACCGTACTAGAGAATCCTATCTATCACTCTAACCAACTTCAGGTTCGGATATCCGATAATAAAGTGTTAAGGACAAGAAAAGAATTATAATGTACGCCTCAGGGAACTAATTATCCTATCTCACCCCTATCCCAAGTAGAAATTTCCCCATGCAAGCCGCCTAACAGCGCAGTTCGGTCTCTAATGTCATGGTCCATCTCGGCGGTGAATGAGATCTATCGGCCCAAACGAAACAACAGATGTAACACATTATCTGCAAAACAATCATGATTACAATTCATGCAGACAAACCTTATGGGCCGAAAATAATATTTAAACAGAAAAAAAAAGACGTGGTGAAAAAGTGATTAGAACGTGCTTTTCAATATACATTCATTCAGGTCGAGCATAAAACATTGCGTGAAGATTAATTTGGAAAGACAGCAGCCAAAAAGAGCAAAATGAACTTTTCTTATCCATTTCTTTTGCAAGTATATATGGCATGACTGAATAGACGGATGAATTAAGGACAAACATCTATTTCTCATTTTTCATGCAACAAAAATCAACAGATGTGAGAGATGGCATACACATAAAAGCGTGCCAGCCAATCTGATTCCGGTGACTATAGATGAAGAGCAAAGCCGGTCAATAAACTTCTTTTGAACAGCGCTCCCAGTACTGTAAGAGATGAGGAAACAATAATATACATGATTGATCAACAAAAAAAAATCTAACTCTAGATATCAACAAAAAGGTCAAATTCTAGCTCCTTTTTCTCAATACATGTTTTCATACGTTGACCACTTATCTCTTGCCCCTGCCTTTCGGTTCTAGCCACTGACTGGCCTTATTTCAGTGACATTTTATGAATCAGAGGAAAAAAAAGAGAGTAGAAAAGACGTAAAATGGGGTAAACAGTAGTTGATTACTAAGCTCCAGTCTTTAACACAACAATCAGACACATAAGCTTCATAATTCAGCATATGCATGCAGTAGCACAACTAATAAACAGAACAGAAGCAGAAATTCTACAAATTCCTCTCATGCATGATCCATCAATAATTTTGAAACCATTACCATCTATGATGCAAGTGTGCCTGTTTGAGCATCATATGTTAAGTATTAAAAATATATTTGATCTGTTGGTTCAAGTTCCACATAAAGTATGATTTTAACTTGAAACATACTAGTTATATGGTTTAGAATAGAGAACAAAAACACTCCGGCAAGAATGAGCCAAAAATATGTCAAAACAGTATCATATACTACAGAATCATGTTTTCTTGATTTGACAGTTCTTTTCTCATATGCACTACAGGAAAAAGTAGCATGAAAAGAATTGCAAAATAGCAAGAAATTATTAAATCGAGAAATTTAAAGCAGCAGTTTTCAATCTGATTTTAAGTTAAGAGGAGCAATTATCTACTTACAATTTTGGCAATGTTAATAAATAATCCTGAAAAGACTTGTAGCCGAGTGAAAGCAGCACATGGGAGGGAAGGCCATGCATAGTCACCTTCAGTTCAAAATAGGCCACTTGGTGCATACGGTTGGTCCACTTTACCATTCTCAGATAGGCCACTTGGTGCATACGGTTGGTCCACTTTACCATTCTCAGCAATGTCTGGTGGACCACTGCGACATACAATGAGCATGCACAATAGGAAGTTGGTCAGCTGGTCCATCCATATTACTTGTAGTATCTTGCTTATTTTGTAGTTCCAAGTATACAGTCCCCTTGTACATCCATTCATCTCTTGATTCAGAGAAAATATCTTCAAATGGTTCTCCACATAATGCACACAAACATTGGCTCTCGTCTGCGGGAACCATGGGTTCAGATTCCTCTTCATATGGGGCAACTTCCTCCAGCGATATTGCTGCCTCCAAAGAACTTTGTGGTCCAACAGGACCATTGACCCAATCTCTCATCTCTGGGAACCATTTTCTATACGTTTGGTTAAAGTTGCTCATTTCAGACTTCTTTGGCGCATGCCAATCTAGATGACATTGGAGCTGCTCTTGAAGTCTGAACCTCAGACCACATATGTTGCATTGATGTTTTAGATCATCGAATAGGCTTGTAAGCACCAAAGGATGAAATCGACGCATAATTTCTGATTTGAACTCAAAGCCTACAAGGTTCTTCAACTCAGCAGCACTGGATTGTGATAATGCAGCACCTGCAACTGAGTTTGATGTAGCAGGATCTTCTGTAGAAATTGGAGGAATACCTGATGAGGTAGTTAAGAATGAAGGAACTTGCTCCATACTGTTGCTAGGAAAGCCAATACACTGATCCTTGGCCTTATCAACCAGCTTAGCTGTAGATGTAGTTGGCAACTCAGTTGATGATGAGGATATCAAACCTTTTGCAACTAATGAACTCAGAAGACTTGAAAGTGAATTCACATTGGCTCCAGACGTCTTCGAGTTGTCTGAGTTCACAGCTACCGAGGATGAGGAAGGTGGAGGAGGGCCAGGTGGTAGGGGTGGTATCGTGTCTCCAAATTGGGGTGGCTTCAGATCAGGTGTATCATCAAGGGAAAGTGGAGGGAAAACCGATGGAGTGTTTGAAGGAGCAGCTGATGTAACTTGGATAGGAGGAGGTCCAACAGGCAAAGGAGGCTGTACACTTGGCTTTTGAAGATTGCTGATTGAATTATTCGGTAACAGACCACCACTTTTCATAATTGCAGCCAATAAACTACTTGTGTGAGGCTGTCTTACAGCAGGATCATTTGAGTGGCTTGTGCAAGAATCTTTTTCAGCCTGATGAGTTCCAAGACCCGGGGGCAGAGGTGACAGTTTCTCAGTCTGATAGGAAGGTTGAGACTCTGTTTCACTCCGAAGGGAAGGTTGAGTCTCGGTTTCAGTTCGAGAGGGCTGAGACTGTGTTGCTGCCTGCCATTGAGATAGATTATATTGTGATTGCTGTATGAGAGGGGGACGATCCCTTGGCTGATTATAGGATGTTGAGGTAGTAGGATCAAATAAGTCTTCAAGGTGCTGAGTAATCTCTGATTGGGATGCACCAAGTGGTTGAGCATGACTTTTACCTGAAACAAAATCCACGGAACCTGCTAGATGCAAAGGCTTATGACCAGTTTGAGAGAACAAATGAGATCGAAGACGATCAGGATCAATTGAGTTATGTGGTTTCCGTTGTTGAATGGATGTTGAAGATGGAGTTAAATCTGAAGACAGTGATGGAAGCTGCAAAGTTTGCTGCCACTGCTGTCCAAAAGTTCCGCTTGACCCTGGGATATTAGCATGAAGGCCCAAAGTTGAAGACGGCACAGAAGAACACAGCCCAGGCAGTGGCAAAGATGAACTAATGCTTGTAGATAAACCAGCACTGAAAGAGAGCGATTGTCCTTCTGGTTGACCAGCCCTTGAGCAATTTTTATCTAATCCAACCAAAGATGCTGGTAACTCATGGGAGGTCCAGAAAGATGAGGAATGGTGTTCTGATGAAGCCTTCCGTTGTGATAGTGAATTTGAAGAAGCCTCTGTACGTAATCCCAAATTAGTGTCATAAACAGCAGATGATGGTCGAAGCTTCTCAAAAAAATCCTGCTTGTTGAGAATATCATTAGCCTGTAAATTTCAATGATATAAGCATTTATTTGATAACCCTGAAGCTGCACTTAGTAGACAAATGGAAGCAACTGGATGATGTAAATATACCATTCCGAACAAGAATGCAAAGAAGTTCCAAGTTTACCTGCCTTCGCTAATACATTGATTGCAAGTTCTAATTTATGACAAAAGACTCTAGACCTTCTGCTTCTTTGTACCAGCTCAGAAAAATACAGTACTCAAGTTCTAGCAGAAACTAAATTGCCACATTACCAAGAATTGATATGAGAGATCTAAAATACTACATCAGCTTCCAATAAGAAAAACATATACATAGTGTAAAATCTTCTGGTTGTATCCAACCAAGTTGAGAGCAAAATTCTCTTTGCAAAAAAGAAAAAAAAAAGAATATAAAAGCATGTACTACTGGGCTTAAATACCAAGGAAAATGATCAAAGATATTAAAACAATAAATACCTCATAAGGCAGCACTTTGCTTTCACCCTTATTAGTCTTCACTAATCGAGGGAAAGCATCATTGACTTTGTTCAAGTTGCATTGCACATGCTCTGGCTTCAAAGACATCCACTTTCCACTTTGCATTCTAACAGACCTATCAGCATCGGCATTATGCCAATCACCTTTGAGTGAGTTGTTGGTACCTCCATACTCTGTTCCTGTTTTCATGTCATCCCACATATACTCTTCCTCCTCAGAGTTCTTCCAGCTTCTAGATGCTTCTAACTTGCTTCTATCTCTATCACCTAAATCTACTGAACTTAGCAGAGTATTAGATCGTCTAGATCCAGAGACTTGATAATTATCATAAAAATGATTTACATCAAATTCATTCATTCTGTTAAGCTGTGCTTCAGTAAAATTGGTACCAGCATTGTTGTGCCCATCTCCGTCTTTAAGCCTCTCACCAACTCTTCCAATTCCAAGGTCCAACTCTTGTGAAAGATCAGAAGAATATTCATGATCTCTAATAACTTTAAGCCTTTTTTTATCATGGATGACATTGTTAATGAATTCCTGTTGAGGACATTGCACATTCTGCAAATAGAACTTAATTTAACGGAAAATATAGACCTTAATTAAAAAATAGAAATATACTTATGGAACTAATAATGAAAACAACGGGCAAGAAATAACATACAGGCATTTTAGCAGGTAGATTTTTCCATTGCCTTGAATTTCCTACCGTAGTGATTCTGTCATACCTCTTTGCATCATCAATTGTACTAACCACACCACTGAAATCATCACTGCTTATGTCCTTGGCCTTCACCAACCAAACAAGATAATCAACATACAAGGTTATATTGAGGTACTAAGAATGACAAGTAACAATATTCTACAGACAGTATAAAAACAGAAAATAAGTACCAAAATAATCAATTGACATATGATAGAGAAAAAAATTCTAGTGCTTGTCCATCCGTTTAGCTAACAGTAAACTGTGAAAAACAAGATAAGTAGGCTGACCCTCTGCAAACTCTTCGGCACTGCACAAAATCAAAAGTAGGCTGACCCACTGCAAATCAGCTAAGTTCGTAACAAGGCGTTGAGCTTGGTTTTGTACCAGTGCAAGTGAAACTGTTTGATCCATGTATGGTGAACCGTCCAACTGGTAAATATTAGTCGGTATCGACCAGTATAACCCAAGCTTTAAACATTACTATTACAACAAGAGCTTATATTCAAAACTCTTGGTAAATATGTAAAAGATTGATGATATACAAGTATATTTAAAGACAATTTTAGACAAATAAATCTTCTTTCTCAGCTTTCCACCCTTTGGCCATCTTGCTAACTCAACATTACCCTGAGAAATCATGTAGGAACCTTTTCCCTTATTCTAATGCATATTCATTTTTTTTATATTTACTACAGGTGAATAGCCTATATATCCAAGAAACATCCAAATTCTATTTCTACTACAGTATCCTTTACGACCAAGATGTGAAACCGATTCATTCACCATTTTCCACATTCTTGATTTTCTATAAATCCTACTAGTTGAAGTGATTTCTCATGATAATTTACACTATTTTAGACATCCTAATGCAAACACACTTATCCAACAAAAGTAAAAGTAACCACACCTAATTGACCACAACACTAGTATGTTTGTTGAAAAGGTTTGGGAAACTTCTACAGTCAACAAAAGTATTTAGGAACACATTAACAGACTAGAACAGTTTAATAACTGTTAAGACTACAAAGCAGAACAAAGCCAATAAAGATGATCTCCAAAATCATACTTGACATACTTACCCTAGATGATTGTTGAAGCCGCTGTCTTGCCTCCAGGTACTTTGGATTCACGTGAATGCTGTGGGCTGGACGCTGTGGTTGGGAATCAAGTTTTGATGATTCAGATTTCGATGAACCATTGGTGATTGGTGGGAAGTCAAGTTCTTTTTCAATTATCTGAAGTGAGGCAGGGGGGAAGACTCCTCTCCATGTCCCAAACAGATGTCTCATACTCGAATGAATAGAAGAATCAACCTGTTTATAAGCCTTGCAGAAGACCTAGTAATTAAAAGCATCACACCAGATGAGAGGGAGAACTGAAGGGGGTGAGAGAGGAACAGAAAGTAGGAACCGATGCTAAAATATGCTTAACAGCAAACAAAATGATGAAATCTGAGATATCATAACCTTAACAGCAGAATCTACCTCAGGTAGCCTTGCAGCAAAACATTTGATATAATCTCTTCCAATATTCTTCACAATACTATCTAGGAGATACAGGGATGGCAACTTTTGTTCATTGGGTACCTGTAGGTCAGCATTACAACAATACATCATCAATATTATCTCAAAACTAGAGGCCAGGGACAGAGGATATTAAAAAATTCCAAATGAGTATGAACATCGAAAAAACTTAAAGTTGGGGAAGCATCTCACAAGCAATTAGGACTTCTTAACAATAAAAAGTTTTCAAAGAAACCTGCTGATTTAAATCAATAATTCTAAAGAGAATAATGTGGATTAATATATATTGAAATCTTGCTAAAAATAAGGTAGAAAGAACCAAAAAGAACATGATTTAAGATGTATAGAATGACATGCTTTGTTTGCCACCTTATGTAGTTATGTTTCGCACAACATGCTATTCTGGAAATTTTGGGGAGACTTTTGGTATTCTGATGAAATATCGATCCCAATCTCACAACCATTGGACAGACAAAATCAATCATTTAACAACATGGACTAGGTCCCATCAACAGGAAAACTAATTACATTTACTCACTTTACAACATGTACAACTTTGCAATGGATGGAATTATAATCATATCAACCTCCTAAGATGCTCCTAATTTACCTTTCCATTCAATATAATGCTCCTAGATTTAAAAGTTACAAAGCCAGTGCTGTTAAATTTTTTTGGTACTAATTGATAATAAATATGTGGTACATCCTGCAGCACAAGATTTGAATGAATTTGACAAAGCAAGTGCCCTGACAAAAGAAAAAAAAACTTTTGGTTGAATTTGATAAAGATTTGAAACTGGCCAACACAAGGCAGATCTAATATTTAAGCCATTAATTAGCCTTAAGCCATAAAAGGATTCAGAACCTTGGCCGGTCCAACGTGACCAGTGACCAGCACAATTATGGATCAAAAAATCGGCCTAGCCCATCCAGATTGGGAAGATCAAGCGAAGCTCATCCCAAACCATCAAATTTTGAGGCAAAGCAATCATCAATCCTATCTCAAATATCACTTGGAACTAGCCAACAGATTTCCTGACAGATCCTAGTTGATTCTGATCAATTTTAAATAACTACAACCAAATATGAATTTTATAGTTCTACCAGGTTTCACCTGATGTTGATAGACCCAGCAAATTCCTATCGATCAGATACTAATCTGATGATGACAAACCTTGATATGACATTCCAAAGAGTTGCATCATTGACTTTCAATGATCATATTAATGTGCTCAACAAGTCACCAGCAACATTTCACATAATTTGGCATCTGCTGTACGTCATGGTAGAATTCCATGTAAATTCAGCCCGAAAGGATCATGTCATATTTGATTGATAACGATCAATCTCGAGTGTTTAAACCTAAAATATTCCTTTTGCAGTTTTAATCATAGAGCTGCATGAGTTATTTATTCTATATGAGAAATTCTAGTAAATTAATTAACAGAAGAAGCAACGACTTTTAGTCATGGAGAGGGCATTTGAAGGACCCTTCCATTGAACAAAATCTTTAAGGTGTCCCAATATCAAGCAATACCACATCCTCAACAAATTCAAGAAGCACATAACTTTTTAATGAAATTCAAATATGTTTACTGGCAACTCAGAACCAAAAGATAAGCATGCGAGGCCTCACTTAGAACTGCACCTGGTAAAAATTACTTGATTCAAGGAAACATTTAAATCAACTCGGCAGTGTTGAAGGAGAATGAATGATGTACACAGGTGTTCAATAGCCTTCTCTGAGACATCAGAGGATGATATCTCACATACGGAAATCATCAGAAATCATCAAGCACCACTAGTCGAGTTAACTATTGAATACTACATCTCTTGCCCCAGAAGTCTTCTTGCAAGGGCTCATCCTCGATTAGAACCACAACATGCCATATAATAGAATTGAAAGAACTAGTGTTCATCTACCTCACAGACAAGATCAGACTTCATAATCGAATAGAGTTCAAGTAGATCGGATCACCTCGAGGATGTTGGCGCAGACGACGGCAGCAATTTCCCTAGCGGCATGAAGACTCTCTCCCGCGATAATAGTCAGATTAGTGATGATAGGCTTGGAATTGAATGTTAGCTCCGCAAGCGCCGTCTTGTACTGCGCCACAAGCTCTTGATGCGACCCTCCTCTCGGCGCATCGTCGCTCCCTTCCCTGTCCCCCACCCGAGGAGGCCTGGGAACCCTGGGATCCAGCGGCTGGCCGACGGCCCTGAGCCGAGGGTCGCGTTTGGTGGAGACGGCAGCGCGATCCCTCTCCGCCGCGTCCTCCGCCGCCAATCGAGGCCGCTTCAAGCCCGGTTCTCGGGAACGGTCCATGGCGGATCTACGGGAGCTCTCCATTTCCATTCCCGGGGGATTCCCGCAGCCCTAACGTAATGGCGAAAGCCCTAGATGTGTTGGGAGCAGCTCGGTCGGCAATTTCGCAGATCGATGGAGCGACGAACAAGAGAATTCGGGGAGAAGGAAACCCTAAATTAGGAGGAGGAGAGGAGGGAAGGCGAAAGGGCCATACGGTTCATACGGGTGAAAGGGGGGGTGCATTTGTAATTCGGCAAAACCCTGAGGCGGTTTAATTGCAATAAGGAATAAAGAGTATTAAGAAAAAGACTTATTGGAAAGAAAATTAAGCTAAAACACATATATGCCAATTTATTCCAGAAAAAGCCGTTTTTTATGTTCTTCCCTTTACTTGGGAGCGCCGCAATTTTCGAAATATAGCAGACAGCCAAGACGATGATAAAATGATACACACACATCCTTACCTTTTTAAGGATTAATATGAATCGATCCAAATTCGACTTAAAGAATCCATAAAATCACCTAAAATTAGAAAAATTGATGAAATCATTGTTTATGTCACGGCAGATACAAATAAACAACGACTTGTATCGATCGGAGAGGAGAGTCAATATAAAAAACATGCCAAATTTGGCCTAAAAAACCACATTAAAAAAATAACCTAAAAATAGAAAATATGCATGTCATGTTTGCCTCCTATCCTATGTGGAAAGATTGAGGTGAGTCGAACGTTTCTAATCTAATTTTCCTATGGTTTTGAAAAAAAATAAATTTTGGATCATATTTAATTTTTTAATTATAAATACTGATGTAAAAAATGAGTCAATATAATATGGTTGAAAAATTAACTTCAGTATTATTAAATATAAAATTATAAAGACTAACTAACTTGGAATTCATGAAACCAAACAAAGGTCGCTATTTGGTGGAAATTTTTTTTGAAAATACTAGCATAAAACAATTATCTTGTAGGTCACATTTTACAAGCTGAAATGCCAATCAAATGTGTGGTAGTAAATTTTTTTTTATTATATATCGGATGAGATTTTACATTCTTAATTTTTGATATCACCATCAGATCAATGTTTAAAATATAATTAATATTTATATAATTGTAGATATTATAAAATAATAATATTATAATTTAATATATAGTATTATATTATATTGAAGGTGACAGCTAAGTTAACTAGTAAGAATTTTGATAATTTATTGTAAGATTAATCTCAACTTCGTCGTTTACCTTTGACAAAAAAAACAAAAATATAATTATAAGAAAGAAAGATCAAGTAAGAGTAATTTTATCGTTTTATCAATGTGCACCCTTACATTTATTGTACTTTATAAGAAATTAATGGTGAAACGTATTGAGCAAGGAAGAAGCAGGACATATCTGAAATCAGGATCTTTAAACAGCTAAACTAGTGATGATGGCTTCCATTTATCACTAAAGAAGATTGACATTTCTGTCACTCCATTTCTTTCTTGTCCAAGGAAAAAAAAAACATGTTTCAATTGCCAAGTAATTATCTTCAACAATTTGCCTATCTCTTCTGGAAGTTGAGGCACTTGATGGAATAGCCAAAGACAAGGAAGAAGACCAACGCAAAACCCAAGTGAGCCAGAGCTACATAACCGAGGAAGCTGTGTTCATAGCCCAGGTTGTCCTCTAAGAATTGCTTAACTGTTATTCTGGATTCTCCAGGGATATCGATCAAGTTTTCCTTTTGTCCCAGCTGTGATGCTACAACACCATATATCGTCCAAGCTACGGGATCACCCCAGTAGTACCACCTCCACCAGACTGGAATTGACTGCAAAATGAGCAGCAATCTAACATAAGATCAGCACTACAAGTGAAGAAAAGTTGGCCAAGAATCATGCGACTTACAGTCTGTGATCACATACCGGTCGTGGTATCAGGAAGCCTGAGAACAAGTTCCAAAAGGTGTAGAAGAAACTTGATAGGATACTAGCTACTTGGTGATCCGGTGTGAGCGCTACAATCATCATGCCATGTAGAACAAAGTAGGCAAAGCTCATGAAAATGAAGAAGAAAAACCAGAAGAAGGTGGTGGCCTGCCAAATAAAACCAATCATTGAGAAAAGGAGAAGGCTATAAAGAAGTCCCTGCGCTAGAATGTATACCATCTCAATGCTAACCTGCAAATGCAAGAAATATGAGAATGTTGGCTGTAGTTCTAGCAAACACAAATGGTTTAAAATAATTTGAACACAACTGCCATTAAATAACCATTTCACTAGGAGTCTTGTGGCAAAATGTGAAGAACTAAATCAGTTGTCATGAATCTGAAGAAAAATGATATTCATGTTGCATGGCTCTATAACAAAATTTTGATTATTTTTTATGATCACTGCACTTCTAAGTTTCTTTCTTAAAGAAACAACTAAGACTAGTTAGAAAGCACCATTTATGAACTTAGTCTGAGACACTTCATCATGAACAAATGGGAATATTGAACTGATTTTCTTAGCTACTTGGCATAATAATTCTTCACTAAAAAGTGCACAGATTATAATCTCAGCGAATAATTTCCATATCATGTGCTGCAGAGTGATTAAATTTGAAACAAATTTCTAAATTAGGCTTAGCTTATTTTCAATAGCCTCATTGTATATTTAGCACATTCAAACCATCCATACAATGTTGGACTCTGCTGATCCAGAGAGTTGGCCATTCAACTAAAAGGAAAAATACCAAAAAGAAGTCACTCTTTGCCAATTATTAATATTGGCAAACTGACTGGCTAAGAATGGTACGTTGTAAATAGGTCATAGAAATGTGCTAATTCTTTAAACAAATTGATCATGTGCAGGAAAGAAAGAAACCAATATATTTTGCAGCACACCACTTGGAAAATGATGGAAGGGACATGTGAATGCAATACTGCAGCAAAAATGTCTGACTACATTTTACAAGTTACTACGATTCATCATTTTGAAGGTTTCATAAGGTGCTCTTGGATGGCATGGCTGAATGACTGAGATCATCATTATTTGTTTTTCTGCAAGTTAATCACATATATACAATGTGGTGTGCAAAATATTTTACATATGTGAATGTGAGAGGGATGAGCCATGTTTTCTTTTTTCTCTTCTATATATTGTGTCCCTTTTTTAATCTCGACATAAACAACTATAAATGAGAAAATATAAGATCTGCCCCTTATGGCAAACAACAATATCACAATCACTTTGTTCAGTGACATGAAAGATTTGACTTACTTGAGCCAATGCATAGGCCAGGGCTGAGTACATTCCTGCTGCTCTCTCACGGTAAAAGACTGTTCTCTCAATGCCCACAATAGGCTGCACAGCGATAGCATTGCTGGCTCCAAGGAAGAAAATAGCAGCATATATAGCTCCAAGTATATCAAAAATGTCTTGTTGTTTGCTTCTGTTTATGTAACCAAATGAGTTTGAAATGTGATAAATTGTTTTGACACATTTATAATAAAACTATAAATGTACACATTCTTTATCAGCAAAAGCTGGCCTGCTTTTCAGTGTTTTACAATAAAACTATTTGATTTTTTCCTTAGGGGTAAGTATCCAAAAAATTGTGTTACTTATCCTGGAAGCCTCTTCCCAAAAATCTGAGAATAAAGGCTTATTATTGTTATCCATCAATTTTCATTGGATTTGCACATGCCAAAATTAGCACATATGATCTCATTGGTGGCAGAGATTCACCACTACTAATCAAATTTCTGCCATCAGGACATAACTTTTTAAGACAATAATTTCGAACTCACATGAAAACAAAAAATTTGATTATTTTTCCCATTTGTAAACACACCAAAAAAAAGCTTTTAGAAGAAGAAAGAGGAAATGGAAGCACTAAGAAGGCATATGTTCCTAACGTAAGTTTATTTCATAGATATAATAACAATAATAAAGTCGTAAGTTCCAACTATTTGGGATCGATTACATGGATCTTTTTCTGTTATTGAGATTTATAAAAAGTCATATGTTTAGTTAAGTTCAGAGTACTTATATCCAAGGTAGGCAATACCGAATAATACCGCCCGATACGGGCGGTACATACTGGTCGACGGCATACCGATACGCGGACCGCCCACAACCGGGCGGAACGTTTAAAAGCACCCCGTATCGGATGATACGGGGTAATATCGGGTGGTAACGATCGAAATTTTGACCATTACCGCCCGACACCACTCGGTAATGGTCGAAATCGACTGTTACCGCACCGTAACAATGCTACAGTGCTCCAACGGTCAATTTGACCGTTGGAGCCCAATAGGGGCAGAAGCTAGTTGACTTATTGAATTGCCAACCCAGTACAGGAATTCCAGAATTATACTCATTCACTTCCCGCTTCGTTGCTTGCATCAGATCTGGTCTACTTTCCTGGCACAGCTCCTAGGCTCTAAATAAGAAGTTCGCAACTCGAGAGCTTAACTAAGATATAAAGTCAGGGTAATAAACCGGTGAAGGACAGATGAAAGTTCAATTACATTTGTTGGCGAAAGGGGGTTCTCTAATAGAAATAGAATAAGTAACTGACCTATAAATACCTGAGTTGCCAAAGTTTCCATGCACATAAGAGAACGTTAGGGTGATTTTCCTTAAATGGCTGGAAGATAGGGTTATGGAGCTACCTTCTGTTACAACTATCCCGACTGCTGAAGACGAGAAGCATTCGCGATTCTCTATCTATCACTGGAAGATATCCCATAGCACGATTGACTTTTATGTGCTTAGGTATATTTTGGACAATAAGAAATAAGATAAGGTCGAGCTTAAGCTTCAAGGCAATGTGGATGCTAATCAATTTCCAGGGCACAAGGGAAAGGCGGGACAATTTCAACGGTCTGATTCCATAGATGTCTAGTATTTAAATCCTTCTTCTTTCCTATTTCACTCCATTATATTCTTATGCTTTCTTAAACTATCTCAAACTCTTTTTTCTCTTTTAAACTCTACAAAACAACGATTTGTGAATTCAATCGAAGCTAATTTAGAAAGATTAAGAGGAATAAAGTAGAAGATTAGTAGCCATCGTATAGACACAGAAAAAAACTCATCGTATTCACAGCTATCGTATTATGGAGAATCATACGGGCAATAACAGTATGGTGATAGTTGGTCATCCTTCTCTGAGCAACAGTATGATACAGAGCAACAGATCAGTAGCGAAAGTAGAAGCTCTGACATTCACCAATATATGCCTCAAGAGCTGTCTCGGACAAATATGATTCATGACGATCAATCTACGATCAGCACCACATTGATGCATCAATGGCATACAGTGTATCAATACACTATGTCATGGGATCAATTTCATGTATCAATACACTATGTCATGGCATCAATGCCTTGCGATACGTTTAATGATTAATTGCTTAAGAAAAAAAATTACGATCCATATCTTTATTTTTTTCAGTAAAGTAATGAAAATCTGCAGACATCAAATTCCTGCCTGTTTTGGTTTTAAAATCTTAGGAAAATTGGTTGAAACAAATTCTAGAGCTTTTCAAGAGATGTAGCATGTTTGTATGTTCTTGTAGCTTTGGAAACATAATATTGGTACTATCTTAGCATTCACTTTCAGATAAAGAATAAGGACTATATATGTGGTTTCCTAAATGCTTAAACTAACGAGAAAGGACCTGGTAATGTATTTTAGCTTTAACATGTCCCTTGACGGTACAAACCTGATAAAAGGATTAAGGCCTACATATAAATATAAGAAAAACAATGGTTGAGCAAGCCAAGATTCATCCTCATTACCTGCTCTAAATCATCTTATAAGTTTAGTTGGATGACCAATTCATCCAAGAGCTCTCTCTCTCTCTCTCTCTCTCTCTCTCTCTCTCTCTATCTATCTATCTATCTATCTATCTATCTATCTATCTATCTATCTCCATATATATATATATATATATATATATATATATATATATATATATATATATATATATATATATATAAACCAAAAATAAAATAAAAAGACAAAGAAAAATGGAAATCCAAAACTTCAATTATTGGGAGTGAGCCCAATACTAAATTTGAACCAAACTTCACTTACCAAGAGTTAAAAAGAATGACAGCAAATTTCTAATTGTTTTCCTGCAAGAATTAGAGTCCAAATAATCATACATCAAATCATGCCATGCAATGTTGTTTCATTGAGGTGAAAATTGGGTTTCTAGACTTATAGGGCTCTATGGACTGAGTTTAAAACAAGAATCTCAGTTGTTTTAAATCTAATCCACTCTCAGGATGACATTGCTTCTTGGACCTCCAGCCTCAGGGAAAACAACACTCTTGCTTGCCCTGGCTGGGAAACTTGATAAAAATCTAAGGGTGCGCTTCCTCAATTTTTTGCAGCATGCATGATTCAAGAACGAGATGAATTTTTGAAACACATCCCGTCCAAAACTAGTCATAGATATCATGAAATTGGTCAAATTAAATTGCACAATGTTGCCGATTCTTGAACAAAATCTCGAATTCAAGAAAAAGAGAACCCGTGCGGGGGAAGAAATGAACCGGTCCATTCGGTCTCTGAGGCGCTTGAGGAAGCGCTCGTTGTCCTCCTCCACCACCCGGAAGATGCGATCGAGAAGGAGCTTCCGGTCCTGGCGACGAAGCCGGTGGATGTCGACCTCGCTGCAGAGGGCGCCTCCGCCGTCAACCGTCTGTCGGATGATCCCCTTTCGCATGCGGTCGTACGTCGGCGGCTTCTCCAGCGCCGCCCACATGAGGCTCTCCCTCTCGTCCCCTTCTTCAGCGGCAATGCTCCTTTGCCGGAGCACGTCCGCCGGGTCCTGGTAGCCGCCGGCCCAGTTCCGCCGGCTGCTGCTGCTGCCGTTCTTCCGAGTCAGCTCACTCGCCATGGAGACCGGCCGCCGGAACTCCTCCCTCTTTCTCGTTGGTGTCCGCTACTTGCTCTCTTTCTCTATACGCTTATATATAGAGCATCGACTACATCGGAATCGGCGAAGTGAGCGGCAATATACTAGAGGGATGGAGGAAGGCGGGGTGAGAGGGAGCCTTTAACGGGTGTCTTGCGGTTGGCTTTGGTGGCGTGTGAAGTAATCAGTTAATTAGTATAAATATTATTATTATTTTTAATATTAACTAAATCTCTTTTGTTCCAACGTGTTCTGAGTAAACTGTTTAACGCCGATGATAGATGTTCAAAGGGATCATTCTTAGTATGTCTCGTGATCCGTATATGCAACAATATGCTCTTACGCATGAGTTTAATTTGAGCATTCCACCGATAGTTTATAGATTAGTATAACGTGCAATACTTACTCGTGTTATTATCACGTGATATGTTTGGATTGAGAAGTCTTCGGAGGGTCTACATATACACTCTCATCAAGAAATTATACCGTTGAATAATTATCGATATTTAATTAAATAAAAAATTATCGGCGTCAATGTGGAAATATATGCAATTTGACAAGGCATCAATTTACTTACATTAAATAGTTATCATATAGATTCTTCATGGATGGAAGCCTCCAAACCAGAATGAACACTTGTATATCTCAACTCCGCCGCACGCAAACAAAGCACAACCAAGTTCTGAAATCCCAATGTTCAAGCATTATATGCTATTCTATTTGTTTTTATATCAAGATTGATGTGATGTGGGGATCAGTGACCCTTTTGAATGCCACCAATTTAAATAGCATTTTTGTATTGCTCGAAACTTATATTCTGATATATAGTATGAAGAAGCTTTCAAGATCCAATTTTTTGTCTCATTCACCGAAGAAAAATAAAGAGCCCACTCTGTCTTCGTACTCCATCGCATAGGCCGGCTTATCCTATGTGCATGAAATGAATCCCTGAGGTAGATGCATCATTAATCACCTTTAATGTAAAATATAGTCTCACATCAATTAGAAAGTAAGAAAGTCACCACCTGTTGTTCATCAGATTTCCAAAAATATTTGAATTTTATATTCAGAAATCAGATACATTTCTCCTGTAAAAATTAGTTCATTCAATCCAAAATATAGAGAATAGTTGAAATGGAAACCAATAATCATCTACTCTTTGGGAAAACAGCTATCTGCTTCTGATGCTTGCATAAAATTGGAGTTTTTTACTTACCTAGCAGGATTCGGAAGGATAGAAACAAATGGACATTTGAATAGAAGGCCAGTGAACATGGATTTCCTTTCATCTTCTCCATCGATAGCAACCATCATCAATTTCTGTGACAACTAGATTCAGTAGTATTATAAAAGAGATGAGTTTGCACATTTTCCACATATAAGTTCACATGGAACAGACTATAAGTTAGGAGGAAAAGAAAAGAGAGAGATTATAGAAACATAGTAACAACAGAAAATCCATAATGTTCGAATTTCCAAAATGTTTAAATCCATCAATAGATGCAATATTTGGCCAGTGCACATAGAAGATAATAGCTAGAAGCCATTCTTGGTTTACATGCCAACAGGTGCAAACCATAGCAACCTAGAAATAAGTACTGTTTCTACAACATCATCTGAAATATTCCAAACAAAAGACAATACATTAATCCATGTGTCGTTTACAGAGAACTCTTAGGAACTTCTTTTATCTACCAGTGATTTGTTTCAACACTTCACCATCGGAAAATCAAGTGGCTTAACAAATATCTGATCTGCTACTTTGAAGAATCGCAATCAATAAGCAAAATATGAATCACTTATCACAATAGCCAGAAAATAAACGAGATCACCCATGCAGGCCACGAGTTGTTTATTATGAGCAGTGACTCTCCTTATCGCTCTGCCTCAAGGAACTATGATACTGATGTTTGACTCTTCTCTGCCATGATGCTGTCAAATAATGATTCACAGGCATCTTCCAGCAGATCTAGCACCTGAATAAAACATAATGTAGAGCACAAGTGGTTTACAAATTTGTTGATCAGTTATATGATAAAGAATGGAGAGTTGAGACTTAATTCCTACCCAAAAATTTAAAAAAAAGAAAAAACCTTGGCGTAAGACTGTATCTGGATTGCTCATAATTATACACCTTGGATAGTTGAGACTTATCTTGTATTAAAAAAACTGCTCGATGTAATACCATACCATATTTGTACTGCTCATAATAATGAGCCATGGATGAAGAAGAAGCAAGGGGAAGCATTTATGTATCCTATTTCCAACTAAAATCAGCCATAGAGTTTAATGACATTTAATAATAATTTTTATAAATATGAAATTACAAATATTGACCCAAAAGTGATGTTTATAAACATTGATTCAACAGCAATTCTTCTTAATTACCTTTTCAAAACCTTGTAGGCCTCCATAATAAGGATCTGGAACTTCCGCTTCGTTGTGTTTTTTACAAAAGGAGCACATGAGCTTAACCTGAAAAATAAAAGAAAAAAAATCACAAAAATAAACAAACAAGTATACCAATTTTCAGTGCTCCATCTTTGTACTTATGGACCTAAAAGTAATTGTCTTATAAAAGACTTAATCATAAAAATGCATTAAGGAGTCCTAAAAGAAAAAATACATCTTCAGAAAGGACTCCTAATCCTAAAGTTCTCAACTAGTATAATTTATAAATGCTACTTCAGAGGGTTGTCTTATGTCATACGAGTAGAGGAACCAACCTGCATGAAGATTTTGACTAGAAATAAAGCCTCATACACAGAATGACTTCAAATGGTCAAGATTATATCCACGAAGATCAATCTTAAGGAAGCTTTGTACGTATCAATTTTTTTACTAATCGTCATTGCATATACATTATAAGATTCAATTTCTTTGCGAAAAATTTTCTACTATCCAATCATATTCTAAGAATCATAAGAGTTAATGGATTTGGATAATATAATAAGATGTAAGTTTGTCTATAACTTTTTCATGAACCAATTATTATTGATTGGTTTGTAATAAAATATTTTTTAATAAATTAAAAATAATATTGTCATTGGAAACCATAGCCATGGCTCACAATGACATGTTAATAAAAACGTACAGCAGAAAGTCCCTGTGCATAGAGACAAAAGAGGTAAAGAAAGGAACTCTAATAATGGTAGCTCAAGTTTTGAGTCAAGGCACTAAAGTGACAGACGTAGTAGGCGTTTACAGCATTTCAGATATGGAACATATTAGCATTTGATTATACAAACAAGAAAAATCAAGGAAAGTGACACCACCAATAATACCATTTTAGATGGTGCCAGAAAAATTTATTTTTGGAATTTTTTGTTTCTACACAAAGGTCGGGGAGAGCAGTGGGACAAACTTTAGGAGATAAAAGAAATTGCATTATTTTGTAACTACTTCATGGTTATAAGCATGTCAGTTACAGAGAGCATGAAAAAGCTATTAAATTTCTTAATATGATTCTCTTAAAATATAATTTTGCTCTTATCCTTACACAAAAGTCAAGGCCATAAACTATCTGGTTTACATTATGCCTCCAGCTTATAGAACTATGAGATTCTTTTGTTATTAAAGAACTTGCAGTGATGGTTGTGTAATCAGTTCAGGCAACACACAATAAACCCAAACACACCATTCCAACTCTTCGGAGAAGAAAGTGAAGAGCAAAAGGCGAGATTACTTCTAATATGGGAAAAAAGAACAAGAAATATTCATTTGGTTCAAACAGAATGGAAAGGTTGACTATAAAAAAAAAAAGTAAAATTCTTCTGGGACATGAGACCACCTTATAATTTGGCTTTTCAAAATTAACGTTCACGGTATGCGAACTGTACTGACTACCATATTAAAGAAATAGAGAACAAGGAACATCAAATGCACAGAATGAGAAAAGTAAGTTGAAACTAACCTTTTTGGAAGCATCTTCTGGTAGAGGTTCCTTAGATCTCCATCTCCCATAAGCACTCAATATGTCCTCTAAAACATTGGTAATGAATCAGTTCACGAACCATCATGCTACCAGAACTCGGACTTCTGTACTATAACAATTAGAAGACAAACGCACGACGCACCTCTATTTCGCATGTCCATGGCCAATATGAGATCAAATTCCCAGAAGTCCGAGGGTCTTATCGGCCTCGATATCGAGGTGACATCGATCCCACGCCTCTTCGCAGCGGCCCTCATCCGTGGGTCCGCAGGATTACCCTTGCACGATACAATACGCACTTTAAAGAACAAAAGGAAAAATCTCGTTTTGCAGATGAAAAACTACCTCATGGAAACCGATGGTGCCGGCTGAGTCGATCTTGAACTTGGACTCCGCTCCCCTCTTCCGCACGAGATCCGTGAACACGGCCTCCGCGGCGGGGCTGCGGCAGATATTCCCTGACAAGAGATCAGCCGAGTGAGAAGTCGCAGCTACCAGAATAAGACATCGATTTAGGGAATCCGGAGAGAGTACCGAGGCAAACGAAAAGGACAGAGAAGGGTTCCGTTTCCGCCATGGATGCGATTGCGGAGACGAGGTCGATCCGGAGAGCGGAAGCAGAGACTTTAACAGAGGAAAGGTGTTGATGTGGCGGGCGATTGGAGCAGCCGAGTGACTTGATGGGGTGGCAAACTGGTAAATTAGACAGTTCAGGAGGGGAATAATGTAAGAACTTTTACATATTCATCCTTGAAAAGTTTGATAATAACGCATTCACCCCTATAAATTCTTATATGGCATGCTTATTCCTCTAATTATTGTGTTAATATCCATAAACGAAGTGAGGTTAACCACCCTATGAAGTGATTAATTTTAACATATTTGAAGTAATAAAATATAAAAAATAAAAACCCTAAAGTAACTCTACGTTGTTATATATATATATATATATATATCCGAATTTCTTGCATAACTTTAAGTTTCCTTTTTTTTTCCTATAGAGTATCTTGAATTTTTTTTAACAAGAGTACCTCATTTTTAAATGATAAAAATATCCTTAAAAGTAATACATATTATTTTCGTTTCAGTTTTTCCTCTAATTGAACCGATAGTACCTTAATATTCTATAATTTCATAGTTACTATTATTACTAAATTAAATCTTAAAAATTTTCAACGGGTAAAAATGAGACAATGTAATTAATGCGAAAAATATAATTGATCAAGAAATCAATCAAAACACACAAGTTTTGAGTGATAATTTGAGGGTCAAATAAGATTGAAATAAATTTTATGATAATTGGATACTATTTTGACACTAAAATATAAACAATTCGCATCAATAAAAATATACGCGCAAAGCTACATTTCATATGCAGTTGATGCATTAATAAGCTAGCCCTCGCAAACTCTACCTGTAATAATGTTATTTGCTGTTTGGCACATCACTGTCATCACAATTATTATTTGATTTAATCTATTAATAACGTTTTTTTGTAAAACAAGTCTTGATACTAAAATTTTGTGATGATCTGACAAAATATTTACTAGTTAGGCTAACTCTTCTAGAATTCATTGAATACAATATTTTTTAAACCAGTCTACTAAATACCTGCTTATGAATTAAGGCGATTTATTTGAAGAAATTAATTGAGAAAGAAAAATTAACTATTACATTATTAAAAAGGGGGAGTTCTCTGCAAGGAAAACTTAAAACTGAGGACTAATTTAGAACAATAGTGAGAAATTTACCTTCAGATGTGTGGGCAAAGAAGCTCGTGAAACAGCAGCATGACAGGCATAAGTGTACCTGATAGAACAAAAAGGACACTTGTGGAACTGCAGTGAGCTCACAAGCCTAAAGAAACAATGGTTCCAAGAACCAACTGGATTGCCTAACTTGCACATATATGAACTCGTTTTAATCATTAAAAGAAACGATAAAGATAGCCAAAAACAAGTTTAATATCACTACTAAGTTTAGGTAAATAGGATCAAGCACAATACTGAGTTTGAACTTCCACTTACGAGAACAGTTTGAACTTGATTGCCTCCACTACACCTGATCTGTATGAGTTGAGCCTCTTCTAGTCCTGGTTAACAGCATGCCGGTGGGCAAATGGTCAGTGTTTGTTGAGCTCCATTCAAAATTGCTAACGTTTTATTTAGTTAATTTACAACAAAACTGTGCTCTAAACATGAAAATGATATATTTATAAATCTATCATTTGTTTCCCAAGCAAGTTGCAGTATTCTGCTAAGCAGATGAGATGGATGTTGGGACTGCAAGATGGAGAACTAAGCATATAGCGAATTGATAGTTGAAGCAAGAGCCATTTGATGCGATAGGAGATCTTGAAATGTTCAATAAATCTTAGATTAAATGATGACGGGGCTGAATCTGCTTCTAAAGAAATCATCAGACAGTGTTCCTCAGTCACCTTTTCAAACTAGAACAAATTCCAGTTAGAGGCTGATACTCCACCTTCCACCAAAAGCAGGTATTCAGCAGCATGGAGGATCTCTGCAGCAAAGAACATACAGGCATGAATTGGATAACATCAAACCTGTAACACTATATTGCGATACAAGCAAATACTGACAAAATTATGGTGTCAAGCTGCACATAATGCTTCCTGGAAAGTGGTTTAAACTTTGAACTCCTGTAGGGTGCACGATCATTACCACCACAAATGACATGCTTTGGTTTTATGGCTACATTTTGCACCTGGACTGTCTTGATGCAATTAGTCAGCCTTAACTTCAAATCCAAGGAATTCATAGCATGTATACCAATTTTTTTATCATAAACTAGTACTCGCAAAAATTTTAAAAAAATAATAATCATGAAAACATTTGAAATTCATCAATTCATCCTACCAATTTATTTCCAAATTCACAGTATAATCTCTTGGACATGCTGGAACAATAAATTAGGATGGAATACCAGTACTGACAAAGTTCTAGATAATGATCTATCTACTATGTAAATGAACTGAGCAAGAAGTATCTTAAAGATGTAAGAGTTGCCAGTCATTTTGTCACAGAACCAACGAGAAAGAATAAAAAAATGTACATAAAGTTGCAGAAGAGCTGACCTCTTTCTCCGAAAGTTCTGTAATTGGCTTTTGATCTACTTCAGTCTAGAATATCACTAACAAAGGCCAAAGATGCGTGTCATCAAATAACAAATGGAAGAGTTTCAGATGAAGCATCAACAATGAACATAGAATTCATTGTTATGAGTTCCTGAAAGCTCACTAGAGTCAGCAGATATGTAGATCAAAACGAGCACAGTCCTTCAATATAAAAAATGGACGAATCCTCTCTTAATTAGCACAAGATCATTAGTTATATGAACCAGCATATACAAAATTTTCCCTTAGCCTTTGCACTTCAATATTTATTTTACTGAGAATCTAATATTCATGGCTTTAAACACAAACAAGCATCTGCAGCAGCATACCTCAGCAAAATAAACAGCACTAACATTTCCTGAGTTCTGCAAAATATTTAAAGATTACACTATATGCTTGGTAATTATATATTAGATATAACAGATATCAAATTTAAACCATTTTGAACCACAGCACCTGGAGCATTTAGTAAAAGAGACTTCTGGCTGTTTTCCTTGCTGATGATGCTAATGTTGCTACTTCATTACCACGCTTCTCAATATCAGTGTAATTCTAGTTATTATCACTGCTTTCTTGATTTGTTCCTAAAGCATCTATCACCTCTGATTAACAGGTTAATTAAGTTGGTAGGTAGCTTTCTAAAAATAGCATCTGCTTAGAAGTTTTATTTAGATGTAATTTCATACTTCCTGCAGTAGAGACAAAGAAATCTTAATGCAGGATCTGTCAAGCATTCCCTCCAGAGGAGGAAAAGCCTATTGCCACATAGCTTCTCTACAGAAGCCACAGGCCCACAGATGACATCCAAGGAAACTAGCACTTGCAACAAATTTGCTTGAAATACTTCCAGGTATAGAAACTAACATCAGGTACCAGCACGGATATGGGGGCCAAGGAGCCTCGTGCACCAAGCTATGCATCTCATGCATTCTTTTAATGATTATATTAAAAAGCAATAAAAGATTTTTTTCAGTTTGATAGTTCTCCGCAGACCATGTATGAAATGCAATTCTTGAGACAGATTTGAACATGAGACTCAAAAATAAAAGGCCATATTATTTGGAACATTATCATAGCATACATGGAAGATGGAACCATGCAGGTGCCATTCTAGTATCTTCCTTGCTGGTAATGTTACATAAAAACAATATCACAGATTAAATACATATGTTCTGAAGTTGCACATGTCCTCAGTCACTGTTGATCAAAACTCTCAGGCTTTCTCGAGTTTTCATTCACTGTCACTCTTATCAGTCTAAAATAAACCTTTCCTGCTGTGCTTTTATCAAAATATGCAATAATTTAACAGCCTATCACTAAATACTGGGTGGGTGATTTATTGCATGCACTTAGCTTATTTAGCTTATTTTTAGACCTTCTACTAGTATTTACAAGTAATATAGTACTCTATAGATATTATCCTATAATCTAAATTACTTGATGCTTGAACTAGTAAGGCAATCATATATATTAGGACTTGGCGAGAACAAACGAAACTCCAACAATTTATGAGTATGTAATATCATGTTATATAGTCACAAGACAAGCTTAGATTAGATTGGTCTAGCTTATAAGTGCCACCATTAGTGAATCTGGTCAAAGTATTTTACTATTTTGGACCATCTAAGTAAAATCCTGTTCTATCCAAATTATTGAATGTAGGCATATTTGATCAGATAATGACAAGGTAAATCCAGGAACTCCAAACAAGTCTTTGTCCATGAGTTGGATTCTTCAAGACTCGAGTATTACCAAACAGAGAGAGGTAGAGTAACCTGTGGACAATATTAAATCTCTCTCTTAAATGTAGACACATAGTGAACATACATGAAGGAACAAACCTTGAGAAGAAAGATCAAAAGATTAGCATCTTTCACATAATATTCCAGAAAAGAAGTCCAGGCTCATGAAAAGAGGACAAAAGATAAAGTTCACCTCAAAGGTGTACATAAGGATTAACTTCTTGGCGTCAAAGTTGATTTCCTTTTTGAAATCAGTCATGCTAAAAGAGCTATCATTATTTTATAGACTCTAGAAACCAAGATTGAGTTAAGATTGTACTGCAATATTAACATGGCAGATAAGTAAATCATCTTTTTTTCATGAATATATTCTTTTTTAAAGGGTTTCCTTTACTTCTTGTATATTTCTCATGTGATCATCCACAAGTGTTTCAGTGTCATCTATAGCTGACACATAGAACAAAAGAAAAATGAGTTACACAATCTTAAATAGCAATCATGTAAGGAAAAGATAGTCACTGAAACAGTTTTTCATCATCATTACAAAAAATGTATGAGAAAACATTTAAGGTGTTTACAAAAGAATTTTTTTCCTTCCATTCCATGTTCCTTCCCAGATAAAATACCCTAAATAAACTGAAACCCAAAGATCTTCAATTTTACCTTCAGATGTAGTGACTTAACCAGAGGCTCAAGTTTGCACTACAATAAAGCAAAATATTATCAAACGAAGCAACAAAAAGGCACCGCAGACCTGAGATTTCTGAGAACGGTGCTTGTGTAGATAATGGCCTCGCTCATCCTCTGGTTTCTATCCTGGCTTCAAGATTAAGATGATCCAAGAACTCCAGTGGCTTTGCTGTTTGCTTCCTGGTCCTCTTAATCTTAGGACTAGACAGTTTTCCATGAGCAAATCCATACATCCTGAGGACCTGGTTATCAGCAAAATTGAAAGCTCTCTCCATGCTGCTTAAGCAGCGCTCCACAGGATAATCCCCATAGCTACCACATGGTTTGCAACCCACAAAGTGGGTGACGAAAGGCCACCTCTCATCCCCCAAACCAGGATGATGCTTATCCATCATCTCCTCATACCTGTCCACTAACCCAGCCCAGTATCCATGCAGATAATACGAGTTCTCAATGTAGATCTTGTCGCCCCACCGATCTTGCTGAGACAAGACCAAATATATGAGCGCCGACTGATCATCCGCCTCGAACGCCGGCCGGCCCTGCAGGTTCGCCGTCAGTATCTTGCCAGCCTCGTCGCGAATGGGGCCTTTGGGCCCCATCGGCGCCCACGCATCAAGCAAATCAAGGCTCCACTGGCAATTCCGCAGCAGGAAGCTGCCGGTGTTGAGGCCGATCCAGGAATGCTTCTCGAAAATGAGATCCGGGTAGCCATGGACGACGAGGTTGTGCGCGGCGTAACGGTCGAGAGGGATCTCGAAGGCCATGTCCGTGAAGAGCGCATCGCTGTCCATCCACCAGATCCACTCCACCTCCGGGTGCGACAGCATTAGCCGCCGGATCAGCGGAAGCTTCGCCCAGTACCCGGCGAGTTCCCGGTCGAGGTGCGCCATGTTGTAGACGATCTCAATCCCATGAAGGCGGCAGTAATCGATCTTGTTCTTGGTGCCCTTCAGAAGGTAGTGGTCGCCAATTGGGTTGTCGCAGGGGTTGGGAGGGGATCCCGTGACGAGGAGAATCCGCGGCTTCAAGCCGAAGGTCCGGCTCGGGAAACCCGGGTTCTCGCCCAACCACCGCCGCCGCTGCTCGTCCCAGTCGGAGATTCTGGGGCCGAGGGTGTAGTTCGCGGCAGCGGCGAGAACGGAGGCTGAGGTGTAGTTGAGGGCGGCGGCGGTGGAGTTGAAGCCGAAAGGGATCTTGTCGTCGTCGTCAGGGTCAGAGTCGGATCGGATCTCGCGGAGGATGCGGTCGATGTCCTCGACGACCTTCTGGTCGTCGGCCTCGCCGCCAGCGCCGGCAAGGCTACCGATGCCGATAGTGCCACGGAGGACGAGGATGGTGACGACGCCGCAGAGGACGGTGATCTTGAGGTTGTTGAAGGTCTTGCGGATCTGGCGGCGGCGGGGGGCGCGGGTGCGGGCGGCGTCGAGGCGGTCCCTCTCCGGCGGCGTCTTGTAGCCGGTAGCCTCCTGGCCCATCACGGGACTCTTCGGATCGGTTCGGTTGAGTAGTCGGCTTTGTCGGAAGCCTTATATATATATATATATATATATAGTACGGGTAACGGT